AAAACTGTAAAAAATTTAAACCGTTACATTACTTCTAACGCCCTTTTACCTTTCTAATTTTGTAAAACTCCAAAAAGAAAACATCGGAATATATTTATTTTATAATTTTTATATTTGCTTAAATCACATAATTCGATGACTTTTAAAGGACAATTATTTTATAACAAAATTTTTGTTAATTAGTATTAATATGAAAATGTATGTGTCATAGCTATACATACTATATATAGATAGTATATATGTATAAACTTAATAAATAGATGGAATAAAATAACGGGAAATCACAAGAAAATACAACTAAAACTAAGAATACGTAGAAGACGAGAATGGCGTTTGAAATGCAGATGAAATTGAAATTTAAGATGAAGTATAAGCCATAAATCGAATAAATTGATATATACAATAAATGAGTATATACAAAATGAGAAATAAAATATATGAGTATGTACAAAATAAGCAAAACTTTTGACTCCTGCATATGCGAATAATGCCACAATAGAGCGAAATATACGATGTAAGCAACAACGAGTACGAGAGCGTGTGTGAAAGTATGTACGAAGATAGCATTGATTGATATACGATACAAAATAATTTAGAATTTCATTTGTTTTCAAGTTCACTAAATACCACGCACAAAATAGAAACATTAAAATTACCCAAAACCCACATTTTGAACGAACAACTTAGTATACGAAAACTGCGACAGCGAGACCTTTTACCAAACCAGTAAAAATTTCCCTTCAAAAGCATTATTTTATACGCACAAATGTTAGCTTAAAAATAACAACAAATATAATGATATTGCAGCAGAAGTGGGCTTAAGCCCCCGGCAAACCCTTAACAAGCAAAATTAAAAATGAAATTATTTTACAACAGCTTATAAACAAATAAAAACAAGTAACCGCAAATTAATTATAGAAAAAAATTTTAATATTTTTCAATTTGAAACTGCACTCTGACCTGCAGTATTTTTTTGCATAATTTTTCGGACCAGTTAACAGAGACCGGCTCCTCGGGTATAAATATGAAATCAGCCTCGCTAGCTAAAGCCGCCGATATGGCTAAATAACTAAATAGAATCATAAAAACACATTATGAATAGTTGAACGAACAAATGCAAATAATACATAATAACGGTATCATATATACATAGATACTTAAAGCAACTTGAAAGCATAGCATAAAGCGCCGATAAAAAAATGTTCGGTTCACAATTAGTTGCGCTTGGAATTTAGAATTAAAAATTGCAACTAACGACAAAACAAAGTTTAATAAAATTTAAAAATTTATTTATCTAATTTTTTTTTATTTTGTAAGATTTAAAAATTTTGTAAAATTTTCCAAAATTTATACGAACTACAAACTAAATGTGAACCGAGCTTAAGTAACTGAAACACCGAGTAATATAGTTAAAATTATTGTTAACAAAAAATATTTGAAAAAAATTTCACTTCACTTTATATTATATAACATAGTGGGGTTTAAAAAGAACCAGTAAAAGGATATAGCAATCATAGGGGTCACACTGGTAGGAATAACAATAACAGGCGTAGCGGGTAAAGGGGAGGGTGTAATAGGTGTAAGAGGAAAGAAAATAAAGTGTAGGAAGAGTCAAATCAGGGTACAAAACGGTGCTGGACATACATATTATAAAATAAAAATAAAATATCAGTGGGAAGTGCTGCAGGAGGACAAGGTGTGCAGTTTAAGGTGCAAGATCAAAGCATTGGATAAATATATATAACTATTTATGTTATAAAAAATTGCTAGAAACACAACAACTGCGCCCGCCAAGGAACAAAAGCGCGCGTTCGGAGTGACAGGGAGTCGGGAATAACACACAATTATCAATTATATACGGATCCTGAGTATATTAGCAACCGTTGAATGAGTGCGTATGATTGCAATGTGTGCAAAAATCATATTATAAGGATTTATGGATGAAGACGTCTAAGTTTATTATAAACAAAATCAATTCAAATAAATATATGCGGAATGAGAGCTAAAGAGATCAGCAAAAGCACAGCATCTTTTTCGGTATTTATTTAAGAAATTTAATTTAAAAATATTGGCTATACTTCGGATTAATTCAGGTCTTCGTTTTGCTTCAAAGTTTACACAGAGATTATACATGTAAGTTAACAAAAAATTTAATTTTTTTTTTCAATCAAAATTGGTTTTTAATACTAAAACAATAATAATTAAATTGACAACGTCATAAATATGCACAACACTATTTGATTATTATCCTATCACAAACATATCATCATAATATTTTAATGCAGAAACTAGTTCTAAGCGAAAAAAACTGAGGAAATTTCAGTCGGACCTACAACGGCCTAGGACTTTCAACTCTACAATATTCCTTAAAATTATTTCAGGAATGTTTTCTGCCACTACAACAATAGCACACCCCGGCGTTCGATCGACCAGGGCTATTATTAATATTACTTTTTTTTAAAGAGCGGAAAAATATTTTTTTTTTTAATTTTATACTAAAACCGCAATTATGAAAAATTTCCCGTTTTTGTTTTAAAATTAATATTCAATCTTTTAATTTTTTTCTTGAAAATATTTTTTACATTATATAATATTTTTTATTTTATTCTTGAATCTTTTTTTTTAACCTTTTTTTAGTTTTCAACTTTTATTATATTTATTTAAAAAAATATTTCCACAAGATCACACCTGTCTCTTATACACATCTATATGTATGTATAACAATATAGTATTCATAAGTTATTTAAATAAATTTTTTGATTTTTATAAATAACACTGTACTTACAAATAAAAAAATAATTGTAAAAACCTTTTTCCGAATTTCGAAAATATAAGAAATGGTAATAATAAATTTCTAAACAAATTTTTATAAAAAAAAATATAATTTGACTTTTAGTA